GGCCATCCCAGTGCATCAGCCCTGAGAACCCTGTCTCATGCAGCAAACCTGGACTGGTGATCTGTTTCACATATGATAATATACATGTTTCAATGCTATTCTCTCAAATCATCCCACCCTCGCCTTCTGCCACAGAGTCCAAAAGTCTGTTCTTTACATCTGTGTCCCTTTTGCTGTCTCACATATAGGGTCATCATTACCATCTTTCTAAATTCCATATATATGCATTAATATACTATATTGGTTTTTTTCTGACTTACTTCACTCCGTATAATAGGCTCCAGTTTCATCCACCTCATTAGAACTGATTCAAATGCATTCTTTTTAATGGCTGAGTAATATTCCATGCTGTATATGTACCACAGATTTCTTCTCCATTCGTCTGCTGATGGGCATCTAGGTTTCTTCCATGTCCTGGCTATTATAAACAGTGCCATGATGAATATTGGGGTGCACGTGTCTCTTTCAGATCTGGTTTCCTCAGTGTGTATGCCCAGCAGTGGGACTGCTGGGTCGTATGGCAGTTCTATTTCCAGTTTTTTAAGAAATCTCCACACTGTTCTCTATAGTGGCTGTACTAGTTTGCGTTCCCACCAACAGTGTAAGAGGGTTCTCTATTCTCCGCACCCTCCCCAGCATTTCTTGCTTGTAGACTTTTGGATGGCAGCCATCCTGACCAGCGTGTTCACTCATTTTTTTGAACTGTCAATGCATGTTCACAGTACGGAGTCCAGAATGTTCCAAAAGGTACAGAGAGGAGCACCTTTCGCCCATGGGTGGCCCCAAGCCCTGTGTCTCTCCCCAGAGGCAACCCCTGCCATCGGCCTCTTGTGAGTCTTTCCAGAGGGCATACGCACACACGTATTCTTTTTTATTTATCTGTTTTGGCGGCACTGGGTTTTCATTGCCACGTGCAGGCTTTGTCTGGTTGCGATGAGCTGGGCTACACTCTCGTTGTGGTGCTCAAGATTCTTACTGCGGTGGCGTCTCTGGTTGTGGAGTGTGAGCTGCAGAGGCAGGCTTCCATAGTTGTGGCACGCCAGCTCAGATGCCCTGTAGCACGTGGGATCTTCTCAGAGCAGGGATCAAACCCACCGCCCCTGCATTGGCAGGTGAATTCTTAACCACTGGACCACCATGCAGGTCCTGCATACATATGTTCTTGTTTTATTTATTTATTGGCCACACCATGAGGCTTGTGGGATTTCAGTTTCCCAACTAGGGATGGAACCAGGGCCCTTGGCAGTGAAAGTGCAGAATCCCAACCACTGAGTCAGTTCAGTTGCCCCCTGGACCGCAGCACGCCAGGCCTCCCTGTCCATCACCAGCTACCGGAGTTTACTCAAACTCATGTCCATCCAGTCAGTGATGCCATCCAACCATCTCATCCTCTGTCGTCCCCTTCTCCTCCTGCCTTCAGTATTTCCCAGCATCAGAGTTTTTCCAGTGAGTCAGTTCTTTGCATCAGGTGGCCAAAGTATTGGAGTTTCAGCTTCAGCATCAGTCCTTCCAATGAACACCCAGCACTGATCTCCTTCAGGATGGACTGGTCGGATCTCCTTGCAGTCCAAGGTACTCTCAAGAGTCTTCTCCAACACCACAGTTCAAAAGCATCAATTCTTCTGCACTCATCCAACTCTCACATCCACACATGACTACTAGAAAAACCATAACTTTGACTGGACAGACCTTTGTTGGCAAAGTAATGTCTCTGCTTTTTAATACGCTACTGAACCACCAGGGAATTTCCCTGTTTGTATTTTTTTATACAAACTTGGCCACTTTGGCCACCTGATGCAAAAAGCTGACTGCTCAGAAAAGACCCTGATGCAGGGAAAGATTGAGGGCAAAAGGAGAAGGGGATGACAGAGGATGAGATGGTTGGATGGAATCATCGACTTGATGACATGAGTTTGAATAAGCTCCAGGAGTTGGTGAGGGACATGGAGGCCTGGAGTGCTGCGGTCCATGGGGTCACAAAGAGTCGGACACAACTGAGCGACTGAACAGCAAATACAAATGGAGGCATTTAGATACATTTTCTACCCTTTGCCTTTTTCACTAAAGTATCTTAGGTGCGTGTTCTTACATCAGTATATTCAAAGCTGCTTCATCCTCTCAAATTGTTGCCAAGACCCCTCTATGAGGATGCGCCATGAATTCTCTGCTGCGGACACTGAAACCGTTTCCAGGCCTTTGTTCTAACAGACACGCTGCGAGGAGCAGCCTTGCATAGAGAGAATTTTTCCAGCCTTGTGAGCCCATCTGTGGGATAAATCCACAGAAATGAAATTACACTTTGCATTTTGGAATCAAGTTTTCTCCATAAAATTTGCACCAATTCAGCCACCCACAGCAATGTGGGCCTCATTCCCCTCATGTTCTCCAATAGATTGTTCTAACAAGGGTGTTTATTTTCACCAGCCAGATAGGTAAAAAGGAATACTTTAAATCTGCATTTCCTTTTATAAGCGCTGTCAAGCATTTTTCTTCTGTTGAAGAGTCATTTGAATTTCCCCTTGTGTGGAGCCTCTGTTCCCATCCTTTGGCCAGTTTTTCCGTCAGTGGTATTTTAATGATTCCTAGGAACTCTCTGTTGGAGAAAACGAGTTCCTGGTCTGTGGTATGAGTTGCAAATACTTTTAGTCACAATGATGCTTTGCAGCATGTGTTCTGTGCCCAATAAATGGAGCAAATGGAACTGCTGTCTTATTGGCTCCTGCGCCCTCCTCACTGAGGAGTCCAAAGGCCTTTCTGTGTATTCTTTCCTTCTCCCATGTTGTCAGCATCTGATACTGCGGATCCATCCTTCCTGAGCTCACCTTTTCTTCCTGCATCACTACTTCATCTTGGGTCTCCTCCCACTTCTCTGGCTCTGACTTCTCCTTCCCAAACGCCCATTACAAGTGCCTTGGGGAGAGGAGTTCTTGAACTTGGCAGCAGTGCCCCTGGGGGCGGAGCCTCTGCAGGCTGCAAGGGGGTTTTCCAGCACCTTCCACCTCATGGAAGATGCAGCCAGTGGTGCCTTGTCTGAATCCGAGGCAGGCTCAGGATGGTCCCCGGGCTCTTCTTTACCAGTCCCCACATGATGCTTTCAAACTGGTGCTGGAGAAGACTCTTGAGAGTCCCTCGGACAGCAAGGAGATCAAACCAGTCCATCCTAAAGGAAATCAGTCCTGAGTATTCACTGGAAGAACTGATGCTAAAGCTGAAGCATCCAGTACTTTGGCCACCTGCTGTGAAGAGCCAACTCATTAGAAAAGACCCTGATGCTGGGAAAGATTGAAGGCAGGAGAAGAGGGCGACAGAGGATGAGATGGCTGGATGGCATCACCAACTCGATGGACATGAGTCTGAGCAAACTCCAGCCACAGTGAAGGACAGGGAAGCCTGGCGGGCTAGAGTCCATGGGGTCGCAAAGAGTCGGACACAACTTAGCGACTGAGCATCAAGTTCAACAAGTCTGAAGTTAGCCTTATCAGATCGGCTCTCTCACAACTGCTCCTCCCAACGTCCTCCTCTCCCTTGGGCTCCCATCACTCTCCCCGTCCTCCAAGGCCTGAAGCCTCAGCCTCCCCAGCCCAGCAGCAGCAGAGACACGCGGACCCCGCCACGCAAGTCACCTCCACCACTCTGTGCTTCCCAGTTCCGCTGTCCTCACACCTGTCACCAGGAGTCCCTCCGGAGCCCACCGTCCTGCTGCCGCAGTCCTGCCCTGCCCTCCCTCTGCGGGGAGACCTCAGGCCCTCCCCGGCAGTGCTCCCTACTCCTCAGCAGCGGACTCTGCACAAAGCTAGAACCCAGCACCGATTCATGAAGCCTGGATCCACATGAGGTCACCTGGAGTCCTGGTGGGCTCCCCAGAGGGACCTAGTGGTAAAGACCCGCCTGCCAATGCAAGAGACCTAAGAGGTGTGGATTGCATCCCTAAGTTGGGAAGACCCCCCGGATGAGGAAATGGCAACCCACTTCAGTATCCTTGCCTGGAGAATCCCATGGACAGAGGAGCCTGGCGGGCTACAGTCCATGGGGTCACAAAGAGCCGGACACGACTGAAGGGACTTAGCATGCACACACACATAGTCCTAGTACTGTCAGACGGCACTTCCAAAAGTAAAAATATTTCTCCTGTTCTGCTTTTTAAATTAAATCACATATTAATTAATATGTATATTAATTAATTAAATAATTTTATTAATTAATAAATTAATGCACATATTAATACTGTATCTATCTCTCTCCATAGTATAAAATGTACACTATGTACATAATAAGTGTTTTTGGTGTATGTATGTTGCCATTGCTGTTTTTGTCTCTTTGTTTAACTTATTTAGTTAATCAACCAGAACCTATTCTTATTCTTTCTCAGCTTGGCTTCCAGTTTCCCTGCTGAGCCTCCTGCTAAGGCTCCCAGAGAAACATGGGAGGAGAGCCCATCGCTGAGACCCGGATCCGCGCGCCTGTCCGGGGTCCAGCCCGCAGACTTGGTCCGGGGTCCCCCGTCCACCCCACGACCCCGCTCTCTGTGTCCTGCTCCGCCGCCCCCCGCCCCCCAGCACACACACGAGTCCACTGCAGGAAACGGGCCTCCAGCCAGGCGCCCAGCAGAGCCTCAGATATCCTGAGAGATGCCGGGACGGTGGAAAGAGTCTGGCAATCCGGGATGCCCTGGGGTCCCGGGGCTCGGCATCCTTGGTCTCCTCCCCCTCCCCCACCCCGGCACACTCAGACTCACGAGGGGCTTGGGGAGGGGTGCGGAGGGCGCGGGCAGAGGGGGCTGTGTGGGAAGCTGGGCGCGTTCACCGCTGCTCGGGGCGGGAGAGGGAAGGCAGGGCAAGAGGTGAGGCGCCAGGAGGGGTGGGGAGCTCTGGGCTGGCCCAGGCGGAGGGCACGGTGTGCGCGCGCGTGCCCAGCGCTGAAATGCCCGGCACGTCGGGGCCGCAGGCCAGAGCCCAGGGCGCCCGCCGAGCCTCCGGTGTCCTGCTCCAGCGGCCGCGGTCATGACGGAGAACTCGGACAAAGTGCCCATCGCCCTGGTGGGCCCCGACGACGTCGAGTTTTGCAGCCCCCCGGTGAGTACCGCTCACCTGGGGGGCTGCGGTACTGCCCCAGACCTGCTGGGGTCCGGACCACCCCGTCCCGGGCCTGAGATTTGCGTGTCACCGAACTTGGGAGGTGGGAGCAAATTCGGGCGCCCAGATGTGGGCTTGGGGTGGCACCCCACGCGGGTGTGGGTGCAGAGGGAGGGCAGCCGCAGATGCGCGCGAAGGGGAAGGTGGACAGGGAGCGAGGAGCGGGCCTCGTGGAGGGGAGCCCGCCGAGACCGCAGACCTGCGGGGCGACGACCGAGAACCGCGAAGAGTTTGCTCCGCGCGCATCCAGGCCTGAGGACCAGGGGCCCGCGGCGGGGGAAGCGCGGAGAAACGGGGCGCCCGGAGGAGCCCGTGGCCGCTGTTCCCCACTCCCTCCCGCGCCCCGATGCCGCGGTCGCTGCGCGCAGACTTGACGGGTCCTCTCCCGGCCGCCCGCAGGCGTACGCCGCCGTGACCGTGAAGCCCTCCAGCCCCGCGCGGCTGCTCAAGGTCGGAGCCGTGGTCCTCATTTCGGGGGCGGTGCTGCTGCTCCTGGGGGCCATCGGGGCCTTCTACTTCTGGAAGGGGAGCGACAATCACGTAAGTCCGGAGGCGCACGGGGTGGCCGGGGCCCCTGGATCACTCGCGTGTCCCCTCCTCGGGGGCCCCAGCGGATGCTGTCCCCTCGGGGGCCTCCCGAGCACCTCGTCCCTTCGTCCATCCAACTCCACGACGTGGCTTCCCACTGACTGGCAACTGTGTAGAAAAGCCAGTCTGGGCTTCAAAATCGGTGTGGCCGGGGGATACAGTGGACGGTTTCAGGGAGGCCCTTCGCGGGGAAGGCGCATCGCAGCCTGGCGCTCCACTGAACAGCCGAGGGACCACGGGTCAGGCACGGCCCCTCTGGCCTCGCCTTCCTCACCCTTAGGAAGAAATGAAACGATGGCCTCTCCCAGCTGAGAAAGGCTGTGTGTGAATTGAACCTGGGACAAAGGTAGTGGAGGAACATTCAGATCTAATAATGGCATGAACCTGACCGCCCACTAGCGCCCTCTTTTTCTCTCTCCCTCCCTCCTTTTCTGTCTCTCTCTTCTCTCACTTCTCATCCTTTTATTTGCCCTTCCCTCTTGCTGTAAGGGGGGAAAAAAATAAAATCTAACTTCCTTAAAGATAGCCAATATCTTTAAAAGTCATTTCTGGCCTGGTCACATGTGATTTGATGGTAAATGTTTTGCTAACGCCCGTCCTACTTTTTATGAACACAACTATTTATGTTAAAGCTCGGCTGGCTCTCAAGGAATATAAAAAGTGCTTCTGACCAGAATGGGCAAGAATCCAGGGTGTTCATTAAATACTCTGTGTTTTGTTCACCTATCTAAAGGAGGGGGAGCATTTTATCTTGATGACCATTGCCAGGCCTGGTGTAAGCTGATTTCAACTAATGGAAAAGAATTCCCTCTCCAGGGTGCACACAAAGGACTGTTTCTTAATCACTCCCCTCAGAGAATCTGTGACTGCGGTTTTCCCCTTTCTCTCCCACCATGAAATTCAAAGCATGAACGAATTCCAGTACTTAGAGAAAATGGTGCTGAAAGCAATTCAACCATTTTACACATCACATCTTCTGCAGTCACTGCATAATTTGTATTTTTAACTCAAATGCCTAATGTAGATAAGCATGCCATTTAGCACCGAGTCTGTTTTAGAGACTATATCAAATTTACAAGCATCGATTTGTAGGATCAGAATTGCACAGTATTTTATGTGTACTTGAGAAGTGCCTTAATGTATTTGTGTATTTTAAATATAGAAGCCGGGCCAGATGCTCATATTCGAAAGCAGCATATCTGAACATTGCTATATCTCCATCTCCATTAATAGCAGGGTTTAGACTGTCATCCCTTGGGAAATGTAAATGCTATCTTTTAGATGACAAAAATTCCATGGTATGGGTCCTTTGGGGACAAAAATAGCTTTGCTTTTTTTTTTTTTTTTTTGGTAAAGATTTGGGTCATGATATATATTTAAATGGGTACCATTTGGCATCTAATTATTCAAGGCAAATAGGGTTAACTGCAAGCTTCTAGAAAGAGAGATTGAAAGATCATCCAAAATGAGTAGGGCCTCCTTTTATCATAACTTTTACTTCACTGCAAGATGGTGGGTTGTCTGGTTCAAGAGAGTGGTATTAAATTCTAAAAATACAGAGGAAGGGTGAATCACATTTTATTGCCAACAATGGAAGTTACTGCTGTCTCCTCTACAGGTAGGAGAATGAAGAAAATCATGGTAGGGTTTTTTTTTTTTTCCAACTCCCGAAATATTCCATGCTGATCCATATTATTTAAGTCTGAAAAACAAATCACAAAATACTAAATACAGTAAGTTTGGTAACCATCTACGCATAGCATATGCACAGGTCTGCTTTCCCTGAATGCAAATCTCAATGGTCCAAACAAAACATAGTCAGAGAAGGTCAGTCTCTGTCAAACAGACAGAAACATCCACAGCCAATGCACTACCCACTCTTTGGAGATTACCCATGCCTCTGTTCCTCTGTATTGGTTTATAGAGGAGAAGCAGCAGTAATTCACCTCCTGTGCCTTTCATATGGATAAATCCCCTTAGGACAGGTTTACTGGAAATCAGCTAGAGGACTCTGAAGCATTGAAGTGTTAATAATGAGGGGACAAGTGACTGGGCTCAAATATTGAGGTCATGTTTCATCCACATTATTGTCAATGGAACAAGGCATTGAAATATGGGAAATTCCCACCAATATGAGATAACTGACAACCCAAGCGCCTGGGATGAGGGAATGAGATCATCGCTTGGGGCCTTTATTCTCAGCCTGATTTTTTGAGACGTTGGTCCCAAACATGATGTAATTATCTTATGAACCCAGGCTTTATTAGAAACGCATTAGCAAATCTCCTTGGCTGTAAAAGGCACCATATTGAGCAGAATTTTGGCACATAATAAACTTTCTTTGTGCTTGAATGGAAATAGCCTTAGGTGCTAACAGCTCCATCAGTTTAGAGCAGATATTGTGATTACTGCTTCACCAACCCAGCCTTCTCCTGAGCTTGGGGCTCAGTACTTTTTACCAGTCTCCAACCCCAGGCACTTCAGGAGGACACAAACCCCCTCTGCTGCTCTGGGGCAAGCAGGGGCTGCATCTGCATTAAAAGGGTGCAATACCCAGGCCTGGTTAGAGTGTTTTGTTGAGTGGGAAGGTGAGAAGGGTGATGATGCAAGAAAGTGACCACTGTTCCAGTGTTATGATCTTGTCTCCTTAAGATTTTCTAAGAATTTGCAAATAGTTCATTTCTTAAATCCAGGATCACTCTAGCAGTAAAATGTTTATGTGCAAGGCTTAAAAAAAAAAAAGAGCCTCTTGTCTCATGAGTGAAGGACGGACACTTGTGCCAGCAGAAACTCACACACGTGTTGTCCGCCATGCACCCCTTAACAGCCAAAATTAACTCAGATGAATAGTGGCTGTTCAGAGAGCGCAGGGGCCAAACAGAGCCCGCTTTCTGAGCCTCCCCTGCAGGGAGCCCAGGCTCAGCCAAAGAAAACAGGCTTCCCCAAACAGGCTGATGGTGAGGACCGCTGAGGTGCAAAGTGAAAACGGATTGGTGGGCTCCGCTCCCACGCCCCTAGATCAGAACCCCTGGCAGTGGCTCTCATGATCAGCTGAGCTGGTGCAGGGGCAGTGTCCTGCAGGAGGCGACGTTCATCAGAAGGAGGGGAGGACCTGTGCTCAGAGGTGGTGAATGCCAGGATTTTCTGTTCCACTACCTACAAGGGTACCAGCTACCGTGTCTCCATCTCTGCTGATCAAACAGTGCTTTGTGGGTCTTGCAATAATGAGTTTTCTACAAGTAATGATCCAGTAACAACAGATACTTTCCCCAGGGTTTGTCCATGGGGGCAGTTAGCTGTTTCTCATAATGAGGGAGAAAATCTGACTTGAAAATGAGCTCTTTGCAGTTCTGACCTACTGACCTGACACTAAGTAGCTCATGTCATCAGTTCCCACTCCTTCCATTTGGAAGAGTGTGTATCTTACACAACACATAAGAGATACATTATGTATCATATATGCGCCTCTTGGTGGCTCAGTCAGTAAATAATCCGCCTGCAATGCAGGAGACCCTGGTTCAATCCCTGGGTGGGGAAGATCCCCTGGAGAAGGACATGGCAACCCACTCCAGTATTCTTGCCTGGAGAATCCCATGGACAGAGGAACCTGGTGGGCTGCAGTCCATGGGGTCACAAAGAGTTGGACAGGACTCAGTGACTAACACACCATATCTTATGTGTGGTATATGGTTTAGTGGCTCAGTCGTGTCCAACTCTCGCAATCCCATGGACTGTAGCCCGCCAGGCTCCTCTCTCCATGGGATTCTCCAGGCAAGAATACTGGAGTGGGTTGCCATGGCCTTCTCCAGGAAGATATAGATATATACATAAATATGCTTCTAAGTCAGACAACGGAAGGAAAGAGAAGCCCACCTACCACCCCACAGCGCAGAGAAGGTTCTTGCAGAGCAGCAGTGGTTTAAATCACTTTTTAAACCAGTGTCCTAACCAGGTGTCTAAACTAAGAGAGCCCTGTTGGGGACTTCCCTGGCGGTCCAGTGGCTAAGATTCCATAGTCCCAACACAGGAGGCCCAGGTTCGATCCTGATCAGGGAACTAGATCCCACACGCCTCAACAAACATCGAGGATCCTGAGTGTCACAACTTATTTGGCACAACCAAAGAAATAAATATTTTTTTAAAGAGAGAGAGAGCCCTTTGGATCCTGTAATTTAGTGGTACACTGTAAAAAGGGTTTTTCAAATGCTGGGATTTTAAACAAGATGTTACTTAGAAATGCAACACATGAAACAGATCAGAAGCAAAGCCGCTCTGGTCAAATTGCAGATGGACCATGGGGGGCGGGGGGGACTTGGGTAAAGGAACCTCACGGTCCCACCTGCTCTGGGCCACCTCTGTGACACCCTGGAGCTCTGATGACATAAATGAAAACCCCCTCTGAGGTTCCCACTTCATCGTTTGGCATTCACGGCAACTCCCAAGATGCAGAGCTAAGTGGGGTAGCCAGCTGTTTTTCTGATTCCTGGCCCAGTGCTCCCGCACAATGCCAAAGCTCTCTCCCTTCTCCCCACCCATCTCTTGACAACACCGTACAACACCTTATGTCTGCCCCATAGCGTCATTCATAGGAGTCTCTCTTATTTTCAGTGGAAACAGATGTGCACGTGGACCTGCTCTCTGTAACGTAGCTGTATCTCAGGCATACCCCAGTCCTGTCTGCAGTCCTTACTGTATACCACCCTCCATGCCAAGTCTTGACTGAAGAATTTTTAAAAAATACCTTCAAATTGAGGTGCCACTGCAGGTTTGATTGGTTAACAGCCCAGTGAACCCTCTGCCTCTTCAATGTCTGTTTATCCATCAACAGATCTCAACTCTGGCTGCAGAGTAGAATTGACCTTTAGAAAAAGAAAGATCTGCCCTCAAGCCGCGTCCCCGCAGGTTCTGATTTGATCCATCCTGTGGAGGCAACCCAGGTGTGGTAGCTGAAGATTCTCCTTAGATGCGTCTATGTGCCACCAGGACTGCAAACCACTGAGCTCTTCAGATTAGTATCAGAGATGATCAAAGCCTTTACTTTCAAGATATTAGTTAAGAAATCATTGTATTAAGTGATTGGTGGATGAATGAAGTCCTCCCAGATAAATGTCTTACTATTAAGGATGGTTCAGTGTATCTCTAAGACACAGGAATGCTAATTTGTATAAAGATAAGCCCTGGATTGCTCTAAGAGGGAAGCATCACTAATTCTGGTGTTCACTTCCAGATTTACAATGTCCATTATACCATGAGTATCAATGGGAAATTACAAGATGGGTCAGTGGAAATAGATGCTGGGAACAACCTGGAGACCTTTAAAATGGGAAGTGGAGCTGAAGAAGTGGTTGAAGTTAATGATTTCCAGAATGTAAGTATATTTCATGCATTTAAGAAGTTTAACTAGGCAAGCCTGGGAGACACCTCATTCAGGGAGAAGGCGAGCCCCTCACACACACCCAAATGGGAACTGCTCCTTATGGCGGTCATGGTGCCGCCAGCCTCCCTGAACCACGTCGAGTGTTCTTTCTGAGGAAGGATCACTCTCTGTCCTTGACATTTTCAAAATGAAAAAAAAACAACCCCTTAGCACTGAAAAAAAAACAAGTTCTTGGAGCTATCCAAAGTCTTGGCAGAAAGACTTGCAAGAGCTCTTTTTCTCCAAGCAGCCTTCTTAACACGATGACTAAAATGCCCAAGGTCTCCCAGAATGTGGCAAGATCTAAAACTGGCAGTTATCGAGAAGAGGGAAACTTTAATGACCTAATAATCTAATCAACAGCAGGTGGGATCTATTTACACACATGTCTCAGTGCTCCAGATTTCCCATTTAATCCAGAAAATGAGCATGGAGAAATTCGCCTAGTGTATCATCTGCTGTCTGAACAGAGCCCATTACAGATGAAACATTCAAGTCTCCTTTGCAAAGGACACACATGTTTGTTTTCAAAAATTCAATTTACAGGCAATTGGAGACATCAAGCCATGCATGGATGCTTCAGTGGACATCTGTGAACCCAAGTGTCACTCCAGGCCTCCTCTCTGGCTGGCCACCATAAATATCTCATTCTCTTTCTTGTTCTAGGAAGAGAAACAGGCATCACTGTTTGTGCTCTCCTATTAAATCTATAGATGGAGTAGGTGAGACTTCCTCATGAAAAAAGGCTCTTAAAAATAATGTCTCTTCTGATAGTTTATTGGCCTACAAACATCTCACCGACCTGTCTTCCTCTGATTGATGAGAAAAACTAGAGATTCTTTTCATTTGAATGAAAGAACTCCCCTTGTTGATACCCAAACACACTTCACACGCCCTTTTGAATATCAAACAGATGCTAACCTTAGAGCTCGGCTGATATCAGACATTATTTGGCGAGGACAAGGGCTGGCTGTGTTTGGCGTGGGCTCTGCCCTGGGGACAGTTTCTGCAGTCCTGTGTGTGCCCAGCTCCATTTCCTTTGGTCATAGCTTTGCAAATTGTTCTGGTCGAGTCCCAGAGATAATTTCTCTAGACCTATTAAAGGCTTTTACTGCAAGACCCAGGACAAGGTAAAAGGCATTTTTTTCTTTGCACTGCTCAATATAAAATCCTAAAATGTGACTCCCACACATGCATCTTTCATTCAACCCAGAACAAAATTGCATACGCAGGATATGCCACAATATCAAGATATGCAAAAGTAGCTATGCAGATAAATAAGAAAAGATCCATCTCTCGCAACATGTGTGTGTATCAGGAATGTCCTTTTAAAATATTTAATCCCAAACCTATATTTCTGTTTTATAAACCTTCGGTTCTCATAATGGTATTGATTGTGTTTTGTTCTTAAAGGCCAATGGGGCCACAAATATTTTATAAACTGATCAATTCTCTTTGATAGCTTCCACATTTCTCTAAGTCAGAACTGGTGAGTAGAACATTTTTTTTGATGGATAGAACCTGTTATGGGTTTAAATAAGCCTGGACTCCTGAAAACACATGAATCAGCCACTGTGGTACCTGAACTATTACTTCCTCCTGTATTACAAACCGTCAGTCAAGTTCAGGAAGTGTTTATGGGAGCTGACTATCTATATGCAAAGGATGGTGTGAAGCATGGAGTATGCAAAGACGACTGACACTTGTTCCCTCTCCCAAGGACATTAGGAGGTGGACATCCACAGAGCAGCGGCTTTAGGTCAGGCTGGGAGACACGCTGCCACGGAGCCATGAGCAGAGCTGTGGGGTCCTCGTGGAGGAGGCCATTGCTGCTAGCGAGGAGGTGGAGCAGGTTTTGCAGAGGTGGCGATGAAGCCAAATCCAGCCTCTGGGCTCTGACACTGAATTAGTATTCAGAGTTCTGAGTGAAGTAGAAAGGATAGCTTTCTCACTTTGCCAGGCAAAGGGAGCCACAGTGGACTAATGCCCTCAAAACTGTGTCCCAACCTGGAGGGGGTAGTGAAAAGTTTCATGGTAATGGTTCAAAGAGGGTGTGATTGGCTATGGACATTCTTTTGATTGGTTGGTGGTAAGGTAAGTGGGAGTCAGCATCATCAACCTCCTGGTTCCAACCGATGGGGTCTCAGTACTTGTGGGCAGCATACAGTTAAGTTCTCCCACCAGGAAGGGGTTTCAGTATATGTAAAACAACTCACAGATATTACCGTGTGTATCCCTTGATGGGGAACTAGGACCCTGCCCAGGCTGCAGCATTGTTTCTCTGGACTGTCCTTCCCTGGTATCTGCATCCTCTCCCTTCCCTAATTAACAGCTGTTTGAACCTGGCCATTGGAACTCAGGGAAGGTCGTGGAGGCTGAATGAAGCCTATTTCCTGTAATCAAAGAAATGGGGGACACAGAAAGCTTTTGTGAGCAGGAGCCCTGCAGAGTCCTGCTCACTATCAGCAACAGCTGAACCAGGTCTGGAAGAATGGTTAGGATTTCAACCGCAGAGAGGCAGAGGCAGGGCTTTCCAGGCCCAGGGAAGTATATGCCATACGTGTGTTCAGGTCTGCTCCCAAGATCTAAGTAGGGAGCTTAGGAAGTGAGGGAGGGGGAAAGATGGAGATGCAGGCGGGCCCAGAGTAGGAAAGTTTCTGAATTGTAGGTGAACAGCCTCCCTTGCTAACCCCACCAAAATTGTATGGAGCCAGTGGTGGGAAAGAGCCCCCGAGAGGGAATTTGCACTGAATGAAGGGCTCCAGGTGCTACACCATTGGAGAAAAGAGTTATTCGGGTCCCTTGTTGCAGAAGGTAAGGCAGACTCCATCCAAGGGAGGCTACCACTGTGGGGTTTTGTAGTTAAGGAGAAAGAACGGGCTCAACTCTGAATACAGTAAGGAAAACTGGGGCATAACAGCCACGCAGCAAGATGGGGTGCTGGTGGATGGGGAATTACTAAGAGGTAGAGTCGTTCTTCGCTAAACTGACCTAATGGGATTCTTGCTGCAGGCAGCTCAGGGGGATCGGATATCCAGTTTCATCAGACTAAGGCTGACTCAGCAGGATTCTTGCTAAAATTGGAATAAAGCGGCCAAGACAGAGCCCAAGGTTGGGGCCTAGAGGACTCAGAGGTGCCTGACTAGCGTTAGGTCACGAGAATCTCTGTAAACCCCTGAGGAGCACAGAAGCTAGTTCTGTTCAAAATGTATGAAAGTTGTACCCTCAAAAGTATCAGTGCTGTTGGTTTAAGTCAACCCTTTCAACCCTAATGACCCACAGATATAACAGAAATCCTGGTTAGAAGTTTAGTTCTCCAAGAAAGCATGGCAGCAGGAGAAAATAGAGGCAGAGAGAATGGCCTCCAATTTTGGAAGATACAACACTTTAATAAATATTAAATAAATACTTCTAAAACTAAAGAAATAAGATAGAATGGTGGATATAAACAATTCTTTTGACCTTGTGTATATTTGAAATTTTTTAATTTAAAAAGCTGGAGGGGGGCACTTCGCTGGTGGTCTAGTGACTGGGACCTCATGCTCCCAAGGCGAGGGGTCTGGGTTTGATCACCAATTGGGGAACGCACATGCCTCAACTAGCACCTGCTGTAGCCAAATAAATTAATTAATTAACTTTAAAAAAAACTGGAGGGGAAAAAATGGACAGCACAGTCTATCTGATAGGTAAGTAGGTTATTGGTTTCAAGAATCCATTTGGCACCTAACTATAACACAAAGAAAAAATAAAGTGAAAGTAATTTATAATACAATTAGAACTTGAGCCTAATGTACCTTGAAAACGTCATAGTCATATGCTTGGGTCACTATCTGTGCCACAGCCTAAAATGCAGACTGACCTAAGTATGTGCTGAGAAATTAAATATCCGATATTTTTCTCTAAAAGGCTTCCCTGGTGGCTCAGTGGTAAAGAATCTCCCTGCCAAGGCAGGAGATGGGGGTTTGATCCCTAGGTCGGAAAGACCCTAAGGAAATGGGACCCCACTCCAGTATTCTTACCTGGGAAATCCCATGGACAAAGGAGCCTGGCAGACTATACAGTCCGTGGGTCACAAAAGAGTCGGACACAACTTAGTGACTAAACAAAATATTCTCAAATAGTAAACAAAAGTAACATTCTCTCCATTTTCATAATAATTCCATTCCTAGGAAATCCTTTGTACATTAAGACTGTGCCAAAAATCACGTTACATTTACATTAAAACAGTGTTAGGTTCCAGGCTCAGGTGCTTACAATCCAGTTTTTCAGCCAAGATTCTGGGCAGTTGGTTCTTCAGCGTTCCCCCAGGCTGGTCAGGACCAGGCACCCCTAGGCCATGCACAACAAAGGGCCAGAGAGCCCCTAGTTTTGTGACAATAAAAAACTTCCTCAAAAGTTTCTAAATCACCCCCCTGGGGGAAGGTCCCCTTGCCCTCCTTGAGAATTTCTGGTTTAAGCCACAGAAATAAATGAGACCCCTAGGAAGAAAAAACTGTGTGGCTAAAATGAGATTAGCTGACTCTGGATAAAAGGATGTTAGATCATTGGGATCCTCACTCACTACCTTTGTTAGCAAACATCTTCATTATCACCAGCTTCTAAGGTTTTGTTTGTTTGCAAAAACAGGAAATTTGCCTGTCTTTCTTGTGCCGTTCCCTTCCCTCTGTTTAATCTCTTAGCATTTCTGGCTGCTTGATATGGATTTGTAGCTACATAGGGTGGTTAATACGTGTGAATTCCTTCCCACAGGACCCATCCCCATGGGGCTTCAGTTTTCTTTGCAGCCTGTAGACCGACTGTCAGAACTAACTCAATACTAGACACATTCAGGGCTGTGAATCCATCCGTAGTCAGTTCTCTCCCTAGGGATATGGTAATGGCTAGATGGTGCTTCCTCCCCGGCATCTCATCTCAGAAGCTACAACGGTTTGAAGTCAAGAGAAGATCTAACATGGGCAGAGCGGGGTGGGAGGCTGGCCAAAATCTTGGCTTTCTCCTCCCACCAAAGCCAAATAAAAAATATGGCGACCGAGTTTGGAGGAAATAGAAAGGTGACTATAATTCCCAGCTGGTGGAGAGGGGAACACAGTAGGTTCACACCTCAAGAACTGTGCCCACCCTCCCCCCAAGAGGGGTCTGCAGGCTTAAATAAGGACTCCCAATTAGGAGCCGGCGATGAGGAGCAAAGGTGTTAGCATCCTGATTCCTTCCTCTTTCGTTGTTTCAAAGACAGTCATAGGCTGACATCATTAAGCCAGCAATTGAGTCTGGTGGCTCTGTGGCCGTCTTTCTGATGTGTAAAAAGCTGAAGCTGAAACTCCGATACTTTGGCCACCTGATGCGAAGAGTTGACTCATCGGAAAAGACCCTGATGCTGGGAAAGACTGAAGGCAAAAGGAGAAGGGGACGACAGAGGATGAGATGGTTAGGTAGCATCACCGGCTCAACGACATGAATTTGAGCAAACTTTGAGAGATAGCAGGGGACAGAGGAGCCTGGCGTGCTGCAGTCCACGGGGCTGCAAAGAGTTGGGCACGGACACGACTGAGCGATTAGCAACAAGCAACAGTAAGGGAAAGTGTTGTGAGGGTAAACACCAGATACAGGATGTTTTTCACATAGAGTCGAAGGAAGATGGGTGTGAAGCGTAGCTCCTGCAGAGTTAGAGGCAGAAGGGCAAGCTTAGTTGCGGACATGCAGAGTTAGGAGCAGGTGAAGTGAAAAACCAGGGATGTTCAGGCCTGCTCAGTGTTTTCTTTACCTTCTTTGTTCTCAGGAGAAGGAAAGAAGAAAACTCATTCCTCTTTTTTTTTTTCTCTTTTCAGTGCAGCAGAGGCAGTAATCCCCCTCCCCAAACTCTCGTTTTTCAAACCATGTGCCATAGATTGACATGTAGAATAAGAACAACTGACCTCTGGGAGATAGCGTGGTAGAGAGCAGTGGTTCCCCAAGTGTGTTCCTCAGGCGACCAGCAGCAGCAACACTGGGAGCTGGTTAGAAACGCACGGTTCAGCCCTCACACCAGACCCCCGGATTCAGAAACTCTGGTGGGGGGTCTGTACAGCATGTGTTTCATGAGTCCTCCAGGTGATTTGGTTGCAAGGAAAAGTTTGAGTCACTAGTACAGAGGGAACTTGGGTCCAGAGGCTGTGCCTTAATACCCTGAGGCTGCTATAACAAATTACCACGGACTAGGTGACTTCTACACAACAGAAGTGTGTGTCTCAGTTCTGGAGGCTGAAAAGTCCAAGGCTAAGGTGCCAGCAGGTTGCCTGTCTAGTGATGGCCTTGCTTTCTAGCTCACGGAAAGCTGTCCTCTCACTGTGTCCTACTCACAAGGCAGAAGGAGCTCTCTGGGGAAAGGACGCTAATCCCATTCATGAGGGCTCCACCCTCGTGACCTCAAGTGTTCTAAGTTACTTTGGTCATGTCCAACTCTTTGCAACCCTATAGACTGTAGCCTGCAAGGTTCCTCTATCCATGGGATTTTCCAGCAAGAATACTGAAGTGGGTTGCCATTTCCTTCTCCAGGGGATCTTCCTGATCCAGGGATCACACCTGAGTCTCATATGTCTCCTGCCTTGGGAGGTGGGTTCTTTACCACTAGTACCACCTGGGAAGCCTCGTGACCTCACCCTTCCCAAAGACCCACTTCCAGGTACCCCCACACGGGGCGTTAGGTTTCAGCATACGAATCTAGGTGGGGGTGGGGGAGACGCAAACATTCAGTGCAGAGCAGGCTACTTCAGTTACTGTAAATCTTTGTGGATTCGATTCGTAGGTTAAGAAGACCCCTGGAGAAGGAAATGGACAGAGGGGCCTGGCAGGCTACAGTCCAGGTGGTCCCAAAGAGTCAGACATGACTAAGCAAGTGTGTGTGTGTGTGCGTGAGCGCACACACACACACACACACACCCTGAACAAGTCTCTTTCTCCCCAGACTGGTGGTCCTCAACCCCAGCTTACATCATAAATACACAGGGAGCTTCTAAGCATGCCAGTGTATGGGCACAGCCACAAGCCAGTTAAATGGGAATCTCTTAGGGGAGGCCCAGGCATCTGTGTTTTAAAATCTCTCCATATGATTTTGGTGCAGAATCGAGACCCTCTGCAGTAAGCCCGGAGTTCTTCCTCTGTCGAGGGCTGGGGATGGGGGCTCATGCCTCCTCCTCCCTCTGGGTGAGAGGTGACGCGGGGAGGAATAAATGAGATGCGTTACACGTGCATGTGGTCGATTGGGCCGTAAGAGAATCGACGAGGAGCTTCAAGAGGAAGGAGCTGTTCCTTCTTCTCTCTGTCGCCCACCCACTTTGCAGGGCGCCTGGCTCTGAGATTCCATTCGGTGTAACTTTCCATGAAGATCCTCAAGCGTGACTGACATGTGACTTCCTTCTTCCTTTAAGAGGGCTGGATGCTGGGGCTTCTCTGGTGGTCCCGTGGTTAAGACTCTGAGCTTCCACTGCACAGGGCACAGGTTCAATCTCCGATCAGGAGAAAAGAAAAGAAAAAAAAATTTAAAAAAAAAAAAAGGAGGGCTGAATCCTGCCCTAGGTTTCTAAAGGCGTTTCTCCCTCCCACTCCCTGGTACATATATTAGAACAAGTTCTGTGTCTTCCTGACATTTGTCTCAACCCAATAGGAGACTGACCAGCTGAGAATTTCAGATTAGTGTTGGTGCCTACATTGTTATGGCATATAATTTATAGATCTTAATACTGGTTTTGGCCACTCCCTAGTCATGGACTTAACCAGAAATGAAAGTAAACACTCTTGGGTCAGGATATAATGCTATGCCTGACGCACTCCGTGGGCAGAATCAGGGCTGAGCTGTCAGCTAGGACCGGAGCCTTACGGCTGAGATTTCCCTGGAGGCCAGTCCCTAGGCAGACGAGGAGACATTGTTTATATCTCTCGGGACAAAAACAAAACATCCAAGTCCTTGGATAAGTTCTGCAAGCAAACTTCAGCTCCCAGCGTGATCGAAAGCTACTGTTTCCTCTGGGTTCAGCAACTTAAGAAGAATCTGAATCCACGGAATTCGTTAATTGGACCAGCATCTTCTGAGAACTTCTGTGGGAGCACCAAACAAGAAAAAAGAAGAGATTTGGGTTGATCTCAGGCTTAGAGTTGAGTGGGGAGGTGACGTTCATAAGACACAAGGGCCCTGAGAACTGAGTGCCAGATGAGGGGTAGCGAGGGGAGAGCTTTCAGAAAGCCAGAGAAGAAGGGGCCCACTTAGCCTGGGCTGGACGGAGAAACCTGCAGGGAGAAGATGGCATTTCCTCTGAGCTTGCGGGATGGGTGGAGCGATTAGCACACTGCATCCCAGATCAAAGTCAGACCTTGACAGAAGCCTCCCCATCATACTGTCTAAAGGACCATCCTAGGACGTTCCTGGCAGTCCAGCGGTTGAGACTCCATGCTGCCACTGCAGGGGGCGCGTAGGTTCAGTCCCTGGTGGGGGAACTAAGATCCTACATGCCTCACAGCATGGCCAACAATAAAAAATAAAGCACCGTCTCCTGTCACGCCTATTTCCACACCCTGCTTTATTTTTCTCCATAGCACTTAACGCCACCTGACTTTATCTCTATTTTTTATTTTTGGTAAATAACACTGAAAGGTAAGCTCCATGGGGCAGAGATGCCACCTGTTTTGTTCATCCCTATATCTGGTACCTGGAGTAGTACATAGCTCGCAGTAGACTCTCAATACACTGAATGACTGAACGGATGAACAGAGGATGGACAAACTTTTGTTTCCTAGGGCATCACAGGAATCCGTTTCGCTGGAGGAGAGAAGTGCTACATCAAAGCGCAGGTGAAGGCTCACATCCCGGAGGTGGACACCCTGGCCAAGCAGAGCATCTCCTCTGAACTGGTGGGTACCAGCCGGCTCCACACAGCAGGAGCATTGGGATACATTGAAGGCACAACCTTCCTGTCTCTAGATCCTGGATAGGGCTGTGACCAAAACACAAGCTCTCTTTCTTCCCTGACAAAGAATTTAATTACTTTGGTCCTACTTGTTAGTTCCAAGCGATTATTCTTACATGATGTGTAATTGAAGGTTCTGGAAAACCAGATTTTAAAGTACATAAAGGGTAATGGTCATGACATGGCCCTTATTTGCTGATGCTAGGGACTTCCCAGGTGGCACTAGTGGTGAAGAACCCACCTGCTGATGCAGGAGATGTAGGAGACTTGGGTTCAATCCCTGGGTGGAGAAGATCCCCTGAAGAAGGAAATGGCAACCCACTCCAGTATTCTGGCCTGGAGAATCCTATGGACAGAGGAGCCTGGAAGGCTACATAGGGTTGCAATCCATAGCGTTGCAAAGGGTCGGACGCAACTGAAGTGACTTAGCGCGCACTCAGGGAACTGATCAGCAATTAAGACAACTTAAAGGACTTCAGGTGTTAGGATCATGAAGGGGCTCAGGAGCCTAAAGCCTCACTCCCAGCCTCCGTGCCACTCAGCCAGGGGAGAAGTCCTCCTGGAAATTCCTCAGAGCTGATCACTCAGCCTCTGCTGGAAGCAATGACCAGGCTCTACCTCCCCGTGTGTCAGGCAACTTCTTGGGAGGAAGTTCTAATTGTTTTGCCAACGTTGAGCTGAATGGCACCCCCTACAATTTTTCTCACCAATTCAAGTTCAGCCCAATGAGGCTATTCAATATATATAGAATTCCTTTCCTATGTATCAGAACCTTGTGAAGTTCTTTGAACATATTTCATCCATTTATTATTAATAGCTTGCCTTTGAGCTTGGTTTTATAAAAGCTTGCATTAAGAGTTACACACAGTATTTTAAAGACATATTTAACTGTAATACCTTACACTGATTTGGTGCTCTAGGGCTTACGAAGTAGCGGCATTCATTGTCATCTTCCATTTGAGTTGTGGCAGGGTAGGGTGGAAGAAAAATGGACTTTGGAGACTGTGGGTTCAAATCCCAGCTCTGACGCTTGCTGTGAATGTGGCGTCAGGTTTTTAAGCCTCAGTCTCTCATCTGCAAACTAGGGTGTGCACTCTGTCCCCACGGCCCTGAACTCGCTAGATGATGACTCAACGGATACTGCTTTGAGTCTTAATTTTATTATGATCACCTCTGATCCTTCCAGGATCCCCAAGAGGGAGGTGAGCCAGGCATCAGCTCCCGAAAGGCAGATGAAGAAAACTAAGAGTAAGCAGAGGCACCTGGAAACTGCTCGATTGTTGCTCTCCTAAGAGTAGGCCCAGGTGTCTCAACACACTGAGTTTTCCAAGCCGGCCAGCCTGTCCTCAGTATCTCCTCCACTCCCCACTTCCCATCACTCTCCTCTGATCATGAGCTCGTTTGTGGCCCATGAACTGCACCCCTTGGAACACAAGTATGGACCCGCTCATACAGAGTCTAGAAATGAGACTGAGACCGCCTGTCTTCTGACCTTGAACATCTCTTATTGCGTTACCTTTTCAGCTTCTGTTATGAAACCTTTAATGAACTGTAATCCTCAACGTTTCCCTCATGAGTAGACATGAAGAGCCAACTTCCCAACCAGATCTTAACTGACAGAGATCTTATCATGAGTTCACACCAAGTTTCCCTGGTGGCCCATTAGTTAAGACTCCACACTTCCAACGCAGGGGGCGTGGGTTCAGTTCCTGGTCAGGGGAACTAAGATCCCACATGTCCTGAGGGGCAGTATGAAAAAAGGTTTGCAGTACATTTTCTGAGTTTTTTTTTTTTTAAACAGGGTTTTTTTCCCTGATTTTTAAAAACAACACTTTGTCATTATAGAAATCCAGGAATACGTGAAAGGAGAGAGTAGAAAGTCACACAGAGTTACAAAATCCATGCATAACTAATGCTAGTGTTTTGGTAAATTTTCTTCATGTACAATGTGTGTGATGTGCTTTTTATAATTGAAGTTATACTGCTGTACATCCTTATTAGTTTCACTTAACTTTAGGTCTTCCAAAATGTAGGTGATAATGGATCATTGTATATTTTCATATGATTATAATTTTTAATTGATATTAAAACTTGCCTGGTGTTCCAGTAGCTAAGACTCCAAACTGCCAATACAGGGGGCAATGGTTTGATCCCTGGGCAGGGAACTAGATCCCACATACCACAACTAAGACCCAGTGCAACCAAATAAATACAATAAATACATATTTTTTTAAAATTTATATGAATGAAAATTTAAAATTATAATCATAGGATTATAATTTTAAAAGGCTTTTGCTCTTGATATCGGTATCTTCAAGTTTCCATTCTCTCAACACTAAAAATTTAAAATAATTTTTTTTGAATACAGATATAATTCACCTTGGTGAATAGCTCTGCACTTAAGTCTTTGCCTCTGATTCTTTTCTGAGGCCACAGAGGTGAATTCTGTTTCTCGTGTTTTAGTTGCTTCTCTGGTGCGTGGTGGATTCTCTGGTGGACAAAGCCAAATTCAGACAACATGTTTGTATGAATTAGGAATGTGTTGGCTGCCAGTAGCTTCCCTAGGTGTTGCACTGGTAAAGAATCTGCCTGCAATGCAGGAGATGTGGGTTGGATCCCTGAGTTGGGAAGATCCCCTGGAGAAGAGTGTGGCAACCCACTCCAGTATTCTTGCCTGGAAAAGACAGAGGAGCTTGATGGTCTGCGGTCCATGGGGTGCCAAAGAGTTGGATGCGACTGAGCTTGAACACACACACACAGAGCAGACCATGACACTTACAGTGACTTCGACAAATAAGGATTGTTTTTTCCTCCTTGGAAGTAGGTGACCCCAGGCATTGACTCCACGGCCAGCGTCTTATTTTTGCAGCCTTTACTTCCAGCTCTAAATGTCAACCACGCTGTCAAGAAAGGAAGGCAGGAAGATGCTGAACAAAGCCAACCATGCTTTCTCTGGACTCGAGAAAAGCGGACGGCTTCGCATTCCCTCCACACACTTTAGCATGAATTGCATTGTCTAGAACTGGTCACACGGGCACCCTTAGCTGCCAGGGAAAGCAGGTGTCTCTCCTGGGGCCACAAACAAAAGCAGGATTGTGTTCCAAGTGAAAGGAAGGAGGAAGGAGATGGGGTAGCAGCTGAAAGGATGTGCATGCGCTTTTATTTAAGGTTCCTAGCTTGTAGGTGTCACGCATATGCATTCTCCCTATCACCCCACTCTGTCCTCATGCACTTCAGATTATGATGGGGTAGATTTATGCACCACTAGCTCTCATGCATTTTTCATCAGTTTTGTACAACTTTTAAAAGCTACTATACCCAAAGAGCATTCATTTCCTGGATGGAGCCATTTAATTTCAGGTGAATAACTGGATTACCTGCGTGTTCACTGCCTCCAATAACTTTAAGTTGTTTTAATGCTGCCAGAAGCCTGAGGGATAAAGCATAAACGAAGTGTTGCTTTTAGCTAAGAAATCAGGAGAAAACATTTTAATTTCTCCAAACTATTGCAAACTAATAAATACATGAAAGGCACAACCTGGCAAAATAAACTTGTCTCCCAGGTTATCAAGCCATTCTCAGCATCTCGCTGCAGAAGAAAATCCAGGCTTTAGCTTTGAAATCTCAGTGGTGCGCTCGATGTGAAGAACATCTGAGATATGTTTTGTTATAGCTGGGAGATGCAGAAATGGTTTATGTTAAATACTACTTTGAACTGAAGACATTAAAGAACCAATCACTGGCTTTTTCCATTGTGGTTTGGAAGCGGCAGAACGAGGCCCCGGAGGACGTTGACTTCACATGAAGGACGCCTCTCTCCTCTGTCGGATTCTAGAGTCCATTCAATCGCTTTTCCTCCAAAGCATCTTTGATCAAAAATATCAGATTAACCAAAATCTCAAAGTTGGCATCAAGTAATTTTCACTTCTACTTAAGACGCTCAGATTCACACCTTCGAATTATCCAAAGGCCAGATGGCGTGAGGGGTGTGGAGTGTTGTGAAAAGAGCTACAAAGAGATGAGGACTTCAGAGTCCGTGTGTGTGCATGCCTTTGGATTCTCATTACGTTTTCTTTTAAATTGGATTGAAGTCCAGTTGATTTACAAAGTCGCATTAATTTCCGCTGTGCAGCCAAGCGGCTCAGTTTTATATGTATCTTTTCCTGTTCTTTTCCACTGTGGTTCATCACCAGATATAGAATATAACTCTCCCTGTGCTCTACAGGAAGACCTTGTTTATCCATCCTTCCTGTATATACTAGTTTGCATCTGCTAACCCTAAACTCATTTTTATAGGGCAAAATAATCTTTTACCAACACACGAATCTTCATACAAAGCGTGTTCCTCTGCCCTCTTGGATCCACGCATTTTCTTTTCACTTACAGGAAGGCAAGATCATGCCAGTTAAATACGAAGAAAATTCTCTCATCTGGGTGGCTGGAGACCAGCCCGTGAAGGACAACAGCTTCTTGAGTTCCAAAGTTTTAGAACTCTGCGGCGACCTTCCTATTTTCTGGCTTAAAGCAACCTACCCAAAAGGTAACGTTTTAAATTTTCTGGAACTGCTTGGACAGCCCCCAGCCGGCGTGGGTTTCCTGTGAGCCCTGCACAGGCGTGAGCCCGTGACAAGGAAGCTAAGCCGGGTGCAGGGCGCAGCATCTCAGTAATCGGCACAGGAGACCTACGGGGAGGGGAGGGCGGCTGTGAGGTCACGGGACAGGGCCCGAGCTGCGGGCGGCAGGAAGCAGGTGGGCCCGGCCCCTCGGCATTACCTGCAGGCTTATTTATGACCTCCCACTGCTTCTGCTCTGCCTGCCTCTCCGTTATTGCACTTTGCAATTTTACATTCTTTTATCCCTAAACAGAGAGAATCAGGGGACTAAGAATCTATCCTACCACCAAATTTTTTTTTTTTCTGTAAAAGATTTATTTAATTATTTTTTGATTGTGGTGAGTCGTCATTGCTAAACGTGGGCTACTCTCCATGACAGTGCATGGGCTTCTCACTGTAGTGGCCTCTCTTGTTGAGCAGCACAGACTCTAGGCACACAGGCTTCCCGAGCTGTGGCACGCGGGTTTAGTTGCCCCTCGGCCTGTGGGATCCTCCCGGACCAGGGATCGAACCCATGTCCCCTGACTTGGCAGGCAGATTCTTAACCACTGAACCACCAGGGAAGCCCCTGCCAAATCTTTATTATGCTCAAACCTTGAATCATCGGATAGCCACAAGCAGCTGTGGACACAGGCTGAGATTCCTCAAGTTCAAGGCTTGTACACCACTTCCAAGTCCAAGAAAAATAAATGAAGGGCTTTCACAGCAGGTCGGAGCACACCTGGGGCCATTTCCAGGGCAGGTGAGCCCTGCAGCCAGGCTCCTCCCTGGGGTTCCGTCTCTCCCCAGCGCTTGTCCTTATTTAGTCTCTCAAACGTGACGGACTCTCTGTGACCCCGGGGACTGCAGCCCACCAGGCTCCTCTGTCCATAGCATTCTCCAGGCAAGAAGACTGGAGTGGGTTGCCATGTCCTCCTCCAGGGGATCTTCCCAACCCAGGGATCAAGCCCAGGTCTCCTGCACTGCAGGTAGATTCTTTACCGACTGAGCCACCAGAAATATCTGCTGTCTTGATTTCCACCACAGTCACCCCACTGACCTCCCAAAGGCCAACTCTGCAGCTGTGGTTTATTGGTGGGGCAAAGGCCCCCTTCATAGCACAACTTAGATGGGCTACGTTCTCAGAAAGTTACGTGGAACACGGAGAGAGAACAGCATGGAAATACAGAGAATTCGGGGGTTAGAACCACCATACTTAGGAGAGGGGGACAGACAGTGACTGTTTCATGCGTGCAGACTTCAGTTTTGCAAGATGAAAAGCTTGGGATACAGATGGTGATGATGGTTGTGGAGCAGTGTGGCTGTACTTAATGCCTGACTATATACTTTAAAATGGTTAGGATGGTGGGTCTTATATATATTTTACCACAATTGAAAACACACTCACTAGGCTTAGAAAGTCCCAGCTTCTCATGGCTAACTCATTCCTCCAGTTCACAAGTCTTATTCAGTTCCAAAGCTTGGATAAAGTGTTTACATTTTAGCCCAGGCAAAGCAAATAGGATGCAGTTTATAAGTCACTGGCAGCAGTTGTCTGGAAGAGCAGGTTCAGAATTCTGAGGCTACATGCAGGCTCAGTGAGAGAGAATCCTCTGAGCAGTGTCTGCCGCAAGGGCTGCCAAATGGACCTTTGCTTTTGCTGTCCTGGGTCTAGCCCCAGACAGAATCCCAAGGACAGAGGAGCCTGGTGGGCTACAGTCCACAGGGTCGCACAGAGTTGGACATGACTGAAGCGACTTAGCACAGCACATCCTGGGTCTTGCTCCAGCGAGTATTCATACCTCCATTCTCTGGCCACTTACAACTTCTGCCTTTTTATTCCCCACCTGTCTTCACATGGAATGGGCCATCCATCACCCAGGAACTCCTTCTCCAATACCTTGTCACCTTCTCCAATCAAGGACAAAAGTCTCGGAGCTTCCCTGGCGGTCCAGTGGTTAAGACCTTGCCTTTCAAGGCAGGGGTTGCAGGTTCAACCGCTGGTTGGGGAACTAAGATCCCACATGCCTTTTGGCCAAAAAACAAAACATAAAACAGAAGCAATATTGTAACAAATTCAATAAAGAGTATAAAAATGGCCCATATCAAAAGTCTTAAAAAAAAAAGACAAAGTCTCCAACTCGGTCACCATGATGAGCTCTCTCTAACCACTTTCTGTTTGAGGACATGCCTCTTACCCAGAGAGTTCATTCATTCATTCAACAGTGATTGGCACGTCTATTATGTGCCATTTACTTGTTCCAGGCACCTGGAATGCACTGATGAACAGAAGAGACAAGAATCCATGCCCTCTAGGAATTTTGCATCGTAGCTAGGGGAGATACTGTATATACACCGAAATAAGAAAATTCTTCGGTACAATCCAAGGTGCTATGGGGGGCTTCCTAGGTGGTGCTAGTGGTAAAGAACCTGCCTGCCAATGCAGGAGATAAAAGAGATGTGGGTTCAATCCCTGGGTCAGGAAGATCCCCTGGAGGAAATGGCAACGCACTCCAGTGTTCTTGCCTGGAGAATCCTGTGGACAGAGGGGACTGGCGGGCTATAGTCCATGGGGTCACAAAGTGTTGGACACGACTGAAGTGACTTAACACACACAAGGTGCTATGGAAAAAGGACAGAGTGGGACGGGGGGGGGGGTCTGGGGGCAGAGTTGGGAGGATGATGCTATTGGCAGTGCAGGATGATTCATAAAACGAGAACCTTCACCCTCTGAGAAAGAGCTGTGACTTGTTCCCTCACAGTCCAACAGCGTGATCCCTTCTGAAATATTCAGTAATGTGTCATTAAGTATTAATCACACATGGTAGGTATTCAATCATCACCCCATCCATCCAAGAATTACACATATTATACACAACAGCAGAAAAGTGGAAATCACCTAAATGCCCCCAGATTTGAAAAGGATTAAATTAAATGTTGGTGTAGTCACAGGATGGAATAGCATAGACATTAAAAGTGAGCGATTTCCTTTCCAGTCTCTCATAAATGCAGTGTATTTTACAATAAAGACAACAAAATAAAGCCCTCTGCAAGGATGCCGGGATCCCCGCCACCTAATTCTAATAGAGCCTCCCAGCGCCAGGGTCCAGCAGCCCCTGCCCTCGTCAGCGTCACGGGGCTGAACCGTCAGAGCACTGGGAGTGACCGGACAAGGCCGGAGAGAAGCGGCCCGGGGGCTGTGTGCCGCAGCTTTCCATTTTGTCCTTATTTCATCTTTACCACCAACTACCCAGCCTTCCCAGGTGGTGCCAGTGGCAAAGAACCCACCTGCCAAGGCAGGAGATGTAAAAGATGTGGGTTCAATTCCTGGGTCGGGAAGATCCCCTGGAGAAGGGAATGGCAACCCACTCCAGTATTCTTGCCTGGAGACCCTGTGGACAGAGGGCCTCGCGGGCCACAGTCCATGGGGTTGCAAGAGTCGGACGTGACTGAAGCAACTTCACACACACTGTATTCTAACAACTGTCCAGTCATACTCCCCTTTTATAGATGAAGAAACCAAGGTCAGAGGTTGAATCGCTCTCCTGAGGTCACTGATTAAAAGAAGTGCAACTGATTTAAAAAATTTTTTTAATTAGAAAAAAAAAAAAAGAAATGGAGTGTGAGATTTGAATCCAGGTCTCCCCAGTGCCTCTCCAGTCCTGCCTGAGAAACCAAGAGGCTACCCATGGAAGCTATCCATAGCTGGGCACACAACCACAGCCTCACAGATACCATCATCACCTAACATTCGAGGGCTTATTATATGCCAAAGACCATGCTAAAACCCCGAGACAAAATTCTCATGACCTCTATCGCTACCCTGTGAGTTAGATACTAGTATTATCCCCATTTCAGAGAAGAAGAAACTGAGGCTCGGAGAGACACCAAAGCCCCCCTGTGGTCCTCTCTGCATTCCTGTTACTCAGCGGCTGTGGGACCCACGAGGCAGTGAAGAGCAAGGGCTCTGAGCTGGGAGCCAGAGCCGCTCATCTCTGCCACCTGCTCTGTGATCTCGGCTGAGTCACTTGGTCTTTTCAAGCCTAACAACTGCATCCGCTAATTTGCATTTGCTGATCAGATGCCTTTATGAATAAAAGTATTTGCTTATTCTATCCCAGAATTTGTAAAAGAATCAACCAAGGACTTCCCTGGTGGTCCAGTGGTTAAGAATTCGCCTGCCAATACAGGGGGCACGGGCTCAATCCCTGGTGTGGGACGATCCCACATGCTGTGGACAACTACTGAGCCCATGAGGCGAAACAAGAGAAGCCGCTATAACGAAGAGTAGCCCCCACTTGCTGCAACCAGAGAAAGCCCAAGAGCAGCCATGGAGACCTAGCACAGCCAAAAATAATTTTTTCAAAAAAGAATCAACCAAGATAATAATAAATCTCCTGGAAGCTGTAATGCTTTATACATATACTGTAAATCTAGGAGGAATGAGTAGGGCTGCAAGTAACAGAATAGCTGGTTAACAGTGATTTCAACAAATACATACAGGTTGACTTTTCTCAGATGGCTAGAACTCTGGAGGTAGGTTTTTGGCACCGTCATCAACTCTCTTTCTAACTTACTGTCTGATACGTGAGGCATGCTGGATTGTCATCCTTCTATCACTTCTACTAGTCACATAACCCAAATATCACGTCTACCTTCAAGGAAGTAAACCAGACGGAGGAAGCTGTATCTGTCCCTTTCACCAGGAAAACAAAAACTTTCCTGGAAACTGCAGTAGCATCTTGCTTGGGTCTCATCTGGCCACTCCTGCTTGCAAGGGAGGCCAGGGGGAAATGTGCTCCTTTCCTTTCTCAGCCCCCAAGTAGAAGCAGGAGACTCTCTGGCGGCTCAGTGGTAAAGAATCCACCTGCCAATGCCGGGGACTCGGGTTCGATCCCTGGGCCAAGATGATCTCCTGGAGAAGGAAATGGCAACCACTAGTATTCTTCCCAAGAGAACCCCACAGACAGAGGAGACTGGCGGGCTATAGTCCCTGGGGTCACAAAGAGTAGGCCGTGACTGAGCTACTGACCAACTAATAGAGGCAGGCTGAGGAAGGGAATTGCAAGTGGATTCTGTCAGTTGTCTTAACATTATCTGCCTCAGTTGGCATTATAAACCAAAGTCTGGTTATCTGATGCTAAACCCAAGACTTTAGTAGTCTTAAGAAAATGTGTATATTTAAATTGGATAGGATCTACCCATGTGTTTGTTTTTGTGTCCTTTTCTTATGTTTTTCACCCTGATAAACACAGAATTTCCTTAATGAAATAAAGGAAATAACTCACAGCAGTTTTATTGTTCTTGTTTGTTTTCGTACTTTTGTAGAAATCCAGAGAGAAAGAAGAGAATTGGTAAGAAAAACTGTTACCACAACGACCACAAGAAGACTACACAGTGGGCCACGGGGCAACCCAAGCCCTGGGAGACCGAGCAACGAAACCAGACCCGGCGTCCAGGAGGACACAGAGCCCTTCAATCCAGACAACCCTTACCACGTGAGTGCCGGCGTCTGTACCACAGCCTCGTCTGAGCACATGAAACCCAGCACCGAAGCTGCGGTGGTTCTGCTTGAGATTTCAAAGCAGCACTTAGTATCCAACTTTTATTCAATTATTTCAAATACATCTTAATTTGCTTACTGCAGAGTTTATAAGTGAGGGTAACAGCACTTCAGTATTGCTTCTGTAGTGTAAAATCCTGATTGGTTGTACTCCTTATTCAAGGTTGTTTTCTGGGCTCTGCTCGTGTGAGTTACAGGCAAATTCATGAAGACACATTCACATCGGGAATTTGATTATTTAAAAATATTTCCAAGCATGTGCCCTACAGGCAACACACAGACTGAAAGTACTCTCTTTTCCCTTCTATGTCCACAATATTCATCCAGTCATCAGACATTTGCTGAGAACCTGCTCTTTTCCAGGCCCTGTGCACACAGGAGTGACTTCTGCCCTTGCGGGCACTCAGTCCATTCAGGAGACAGACTCACACAGGGGATCAAACACTTCAGACGGAAACCTTGGGAACTGGTGATTGTAAGGATGACACCAACATGCTAAAAACTTCTCAAATCTTCAACAAAGTGTAGTTTATCATTACTATATGTTGCAGGGAGTGAAATCAGAAAAATAAGTACGTATGTGTAACTAGTGTTTTAACTAGTTAAATAAGAAACTAATAAACTAGTATTTTAACTAGTTAGAAAAAAATCCATGCATTTTTTTTTAATGTATACAATGCAAAGTGAGTTTACCTTCTACCACAGACACCCTCCTCAGAGCAGTCTATCAACAATGGCTGTTTGCCCACTTCCTCTGCATAAGTGTGTACACACACACACACACACATTTTTAACACAAAAGAGCATACACAACTTCCTTACTTTGCTGTCTCTCCAGTTACAATACAGTATGTTAGGAATTCTACTGTATCTCCTATATGGGTCCACCTCATTCATTTTAATGGTGACCTTTCAGTCCATTGTGTGGATAAATGTATAGAAATTGAAACAGTTCTGCTTTGGTGGGCATGTAAATTATTTCCTCCAATACCATTAGCAGGCTGCACCTAAGACAGCCTGCGCAGGGTCTGGGAAAGAAGACGTGAGGGAGAGCAGCTGAGGCTGTTAGCACAGTGCCCGGCACACAGGAAGTGCTCACGTGCTCCATGTAGTCTCACCCACACTTCTTGTACACGAAGGGAGTGCATCTTCAGCACAAATGGGACTTCCCCGGCGCTGTGCTTTAGTCGCTCAGTCGTGTCCGACTCTGCAACTCCATGGACTGTACCCCACCAGGCTCCTCAGTCCATGGGATTCTCCAGGCAAGAATACTGGAGTAGGTTGCCATGCCCTCCTCCGGGGGATCTTCCCAACCCAGGCATCAAACCAGGTCTCCTGATTGCAGGCGGGTTCTTTACCAGCTGAGCCACCAGAAAAGCCCTTCCTGGTGGCTCTGTGCTGTAGGTATTTAAAAAACTGCAAGTGCAGAGAGAGGCTTTCTCTGAACTCCCCCTATCTGCCTAAAGACAGATCCTCCAGAAGGAATTCTATTGTCATAAATCCCCTCCCCAGGAGTTTCATTAATTCATTAACCAGGGAAGATGGATTCATCCCAGGAGGAGAGTGGAAGCCAGCACCACACTCAGACAACTCCATCACAAACTATCATACCTCCCATGTGCTCTTCTAAGGGTCCACTCGTCTCTTCTAGAAGTCACTAGCCCTGCCATAAGAGATCGACATCTCCCTGACCCTTTCCTATTCAGATAATATTTAACCCTGAATTTTATGCCGCCTTGAAGTTACTCATTTTTCCTGGGTATCTCCCGTCAAGACGGTAAAGAATCTGCCTGCAATGAGGGAGACCTGGGTTCGATCCCTGGATTGGGAAGATCCCCTGGAGGAGGGAACCCACTCCAGTGTTCTTGCCTGGGGAAACCCATGGACAGAGGCCCACCAGGCTACAGTGCATGGAGCCGCAGAGTCAGGCATGACTGAGTGACTAACACTTTCACTTTTAGCACAGGTACTGACGCATGTAGGTTTACTGGGTCACAGTAGATGGGAATTTTACATTGTAATGGAGGACACTAAATTGCCTTCCAGGGAATTACAGCAGCTGCAAGACTTCAAATGGTAATGCGAGGCCTCATTTATCATCCAACTTTTTAAATAGCCTTGGGTGTAAGACCGTGTCCCCCGTCTCGGCCAGTCTCTGACTATCTGTGAGGCTGAGCATCTCTTCACACACGGAGAGGCCATCTACACGTGTTCTTTTTTATGCAGCCTGCTTGGTCCCTTGTTGTTTCATGTGTTGCAAATTATCTTCTGGTTTGTCGTTTTAGACCAATATTTATATTTTAAAAAGACGTAGAGCAAAAAGTATTTTTGACGTTAACCCAAGGCTTACTAGAAAATTCAGGATGCCACGGTACTTCATTGCTAAAGCTCAAAGAACAATAAAGGAATAAAATGTGAATAGACAAACAGAAAAGTTAATTTATTCTCCAGGCAGCTGGCCTCCCTGCACCTGGGTCTAGGGGAGGGCTTCAGCCCCTTTACAGGAGGTGGATAGGATGTTGACTGTGCCCTGCTTCCAGACTTCAGGGATCCGTGTCCCTGAAAAGCTTCCACATAGCAGTTTCTTCCTAAGTGTTGAGCTTGCAAGCAGGAACATCTTCCCTATGACTTCCGCCCTTCCCTTATCCCTTTAAGGAAGTACCTCAGAAATCTCTCAATAACCAGAGATTCCTGCCTACTTTTTACTCCTAATAAACTTCCGTTGACCCCTCAGGTGAGGAATGCCTCAGCCGGTAGGCTTGCTGACCCCTCCTGCCTGTGTGCGGAGTCGTGTCTGACTCTGCAACGCCGTGGACTGGAGCCCGCCAGGCTCCTCTGTCCATGGGACTCTCCAGGCAAGAAGACTGGAGTGGGTTGCCATGCCCTCCTCCAGATCTTCCTGACCCAGGGATGGAGCCCATCTCTTTTTGTCTCCTGCATTAGCAGGTAGCACTTTACCACTAGTGCTACCTGAGAATGGAGAAACTTCACCATAACATTAAAAAAAAAAAAAAATATTCCTGTAAGCAACCGATCACGCAGGGTGGAAGTTCCCTCATGTTAGAAGGGTTTCTGAATGATAAGGTTTTAAAGATTGAAAGCGCATTACGGAAAACAGTGATTGCTGGTACCACTAAGACATTTAAGACCTTATTTTAAAATAATGTGCGTGCTATAAACGTCTCTTTATGAAGGAAACACAAGTAATTCTCTTTTTTATTTCATAGCAGCAGGAAGGAGAAAGCATGACATTCGACCCCAGACTGGATCATGAAGGAATCTGCTGTATAGAATGCCGGAGGAGCTACACCCACTGCCAGAAGATCTGTGAGCCCCTGGGGGGCTATTACCCGTGGCCTTATAACTACCAGGGCTGCCGTTCAGCCTGCAGAGTTATCATGCCTTGTAGCTGGTGGGTGGCCCGCATCATGGGCATGGTGTGAAAGCACTTCAGGGAGCAGGTGCTGTGAAGTCAAACTCCAGAGACAGCTAAAGCTTGGGGCATCTTGAAGCTAAAGGGACCATAAAGTATTTTATGTTCCATCTGAGCAATGTTATTCGAGACACTGAACAGAATACTTTTCAACTGCTTTACAGAACTTTATTCAGAATTGCAAACATACTGAGAGGGTAGTTTTAAGTCTAAAATATCATAATAATCCTTTTATTACTTGCTTTTTTTTTTTTTTTGCTTTTCTTTGCCAGGAAGTTCTGCTTTTAAGCCTTCCTTACCAAGCTATTTTGAAATAATCATGAAAAATTACTTACAATATGTCAAAGATCTCAACTGTACACTTGAGTTCCTTTTAAATCAAGTCACTAACTAAAACGATTGTCTTCTGTTATTTGCTCAGAATTCCTCAGTTGTTCTTAATCTTTATTGTTCTTTTCTCCTCTTGCAAATGTGCCACCAGAGTTCCCAGATAAAAATAAGAGACAAAGAAGGGAAAATGAGATAGCTAATGCAATCTACCTGAGAGTAAATATAACGCTGAAGGTGGCAGCTCACAGGAAACTGGTAATAGGAGGCCACCCTGTTAAGAGTCGGGCCAAGAAAAGTGCACTAGGATAAAGAAGAAGAGTGCAGTCCAAGGTTAATCAGACTTGTGGGGAAGCACTTTCACTGACATTCTGAAAACCAGGTCTTCACATCCCTTTCAATCTGCTTTCCGTTAGGTGGTCTTCGGGCTTGAAGCAGCATAATGATTTCTACCTTTGTAGTACACGCTGGGTTGCTGACATAGTTCAATTACCAGTGAGTTACTCTCCTAGTAACACGGCAGGCAGCGCTGTCTGACAGACATGGCTGAGGAGGAATGGCTTATTTATAATGACACAAAGAACCTCAGGACCAAGGTCTGTCTTTAAAAATTGAGGTATTAGATCAGGAAGATGAACAGCTATTTCTTATTTTTGACATTTTAGTTTTGACTCTCAGTTTTAAAAGATTAAAAACCTTCCTAAAGAAAGTAGGTTTTCTAAAACAACACAAAGATTCAGAGAGATGAAAGATTGTGATACCACGACAGTCCCATAGTCTAAGACACCTTACTACTGTCCATCTAGTTCTCAAACTTGGTTATCAGTGAACACTCATATACCTACATTAAACGGGATGAACAGCAAGTTAGGCCTTTGGAGAAAAAAGGGATGAAGGAAAGACACACTGACATGTATGGTCATGCTGTTTAGACAACAGCAACTTCCTGCAGCCACAAATTTTACACTTTCAAAATGGCGGTCCCTCTACGAAGCAACCAGTGCCCATGGTTCTGCACACCACCTCCCACCTCATCACCCAGCAGCCTGTATGTACTTGCCTCTGAAAACGAGAGGAAAAAAGACGGAGTCGGTGATCCCACCCCAGACGTGCTTGCGGTCTCATGAGGCAGATGACGGCGTCAGTACACCGAAGGCCTTGATAAGACGTGCGAGCACTGGGCTTCTGGGAAGGGAAGGCCTTCGGTGGGTCTTCGAGGATGAGCAGGAGCCGGGCAGGCGGTGACAGAAGGGCCCCCCGGGCGGAGGGGGCAGTTCGGGTAGGCGTGAGGCTGTGCGGTTAAGCAGGGAAACGGAGCATTCAGGCGGAGGCAGGCGTGTCAGGATGGGAACAGGCAGAAGCGCCAAGTAACACTCCATGAGTTTATTGGGTGAAGAAGGACCAGGAGGACATGGCAACCCACCCCAGTACTCCTGCCCGGAAAATCCCATGGACAGAGGAGCCTGGAGGGCTACAGTCCAGAGTCACCGAGAGTTGGACACGACTTAGCTACTGAACACACACGCACAGAAGGAAAAGAAAACCAATGAAAGGTTTTGGGCAAGGAGGGGGCTGGTCGTTTCCACTTTACACAGAGCCCCTTGGAAGCTTTCCACGTGAGAAGTGAAGGGTGCCAGGCTTAGCGAGGAGGAGAGCGGGTCATGAGGGAAGGCAGGCTGCCTCTTGAAAACATGTGCCCTCTTCAAAGCACCACAAGTAAATGAAATATAGGTGGATATTTACTTAATAGGATTATGCTGTTATGAAAGTCACTCAACACGTAAGGAAGTCAACATAGCAAGGGAGAAATGGATGTTTTAAGGACAAAAAAGAAAAAGCAAACAGTGTAGTTGCTTGGTTGTGTCCAACTTGGTGACCCCATGGACTGTAGCCCGTCAGACTCCTCTGTCCATGGGATTCTCCAGGCAAGAACACTGGAGTGGGTTGCCATGCCCTCTTCCAGGGGATTTTCCTGACCCAGGGATCAAGACCAGGTCTTCCACGTTACAGGCAGATCCTTCAACATCTGAGCCAAAGCTTTGGGCTTTTTAAGACCAGAGGGAAAAGTCAAAGTTGGTTAAATGCAAGAATGACAACTCAAATTTTTCAACGGAAAAAACTAAAGGTCTACTTTGAAAGAGGAGATAGAGTGTACAAAGACGACTATTTGGTTAGGGGAGAGAGGACACTGCAGAATACAAACTTTTCACAAACTGCTCCTAATCCCTAAGGGACCTCTGACCTGGTCGGTCCAAAAGCTGCAAATGCTGCCCAGTTTGCAGTGCTGAATCTCGACTTCTCCTTCAGCTAATCCTCAGTGGTGAGGTAGACCAATCCGCATGGACACCACAGGTTCATTTTCAAGGTCCTCAAGTCCCATCTTGACTCAGCAGTCTTAGATGTGATAGGTGCTGCTGTGTCAGCAGAGAAAATGAAGAAACAGTACTGCTGGGTTTCAGTAAGTGACTAACGTCCCATTAACATGTCTCATTGAACAAACTTCCTCTGCAATGTTAAAAACTTGTTTAACCTCATCCTTAAACCTCCTTCCCACCATCACCTCAAGTAACTGTTGACACTAAAAAAGCAAATACATTCAGAATAATCACTTAACCCACTCAACAGCTGTTCTTATACCAGATTTTATTACAGTCCGAAATACAAGCTACATTTTTACAAAGTAGAAATTCCTTGTGTGAGTGGAATAATTTTTACTTCTGCATAAGCTGAATATGATGATTTGTTTTATGTACATTTATTTTATAGAAATGTCACATTTTCTCTTAAGTTAACTGACTTATTGAGGGGAAGGAGGGAGTCAACAAAACTCTACATGCAGATAGCCCCAGTAGCATATGCAAACAGAAAGGTGCGAATTTGAGTCAACTATGCAAACTTTAGCAAAAACGTTTCACAGGCAGAGTGAGTTTTGCTGTTTATAAAAGAAAGCTGAATTCCTTTTAAGGGCTTTTGTACATATATGCATGCTCATATTTTATATGCATATACAGGTTTCACTTTGAAAAAGCCCAGTATGTTAGAATCAAATTTATAGAACCGGTTTAAGTTAGTGTTGACTGACTTTAAACAATAAAGGGACTCAACCACAGATTTTATTTAAAATGCTTACATTCAAAAGTAATCAATTTACATACAATTTTTAGGTACCTACTGTGTAAAGGTAAGTACATCTATCTATACATTTACGCATGTCTTGATAGAACTTTACCTAGCAAACAGCTAACGCTGTTTTCTCAGGTGTTTTGGTTTACTGAACCTTTACCATGTCTTAATAGTTTTTAGATCAAACATACAAGAGTCAGTCTTTATCAGGATCTATGTTATTACCATAGATTGATAAAGATCCGTAACGAAGCTATAAATAAGTGCCAAGGTTAAACACCAAATTATTAAAACCCATTTAAGAAGTACACCCCACTGTAAGTCCCTTCCATGACTTCACTAGTAACTTTACAGATGTCACATGTCACATTTCTGTTCTTTCTGCACCTGCTCCTGTGCAAAAATTCTCTTCATATCAAATTCCTGCAATTGAGTCAATCTCCTTTTTCTCATCTGTAACACAGCTGCAAAAATCTTAATAGCAATGAGATAGTCTGGGAGAAATACTGTCTATACACTTTTTCTTAAAACTAGCATTATATTTACACAGTTACTTACAATTTTTTTTTAAAACATAATTTCCTTAGCTTCCTGTTCTTCAGCTTCCCGAGGTGTGGATTATTTACCAAAAATTTTCTTTTCAACGGCCTATTTATTAACATAGGCCATTATCCATCTTTTTTATAATGGATTTACTTTATACTGACATAGTCAAACACCTGGAATAAACTTATCCAGCATGAACTTTTTCTCAGCAGGAAATTATGCTTTTAAAGGCAAGCAGTTTCTTTTTAATTAAAACCATACTCCTGCCTAGAAGGTACTAAGGAAACTCTAAAACTACAAAGTGAAAAAGAGCTCCACTCCAGAAAGCTCTCCTAAACACACATTCGACTTGACTTAATCAACCAGCATTATAATTTTTAATTCATTTAGCACCTATGTGTAATCATACAACATCTGAGAATATTCCAGTTGCTAAAGAAGCTGCCTTATTTAAACCAACACTCTGATATTCCATATATACTCCATGGGCACTGACTATTCTAGTATTCTCTGCTCAATTTTAATAATATCTCAGCAACGATACACAGCATATTGTCCAAACGGTCTCAATTTGCTTCACTTGACTGAAAAAGGTTTTCATCACGTGCACCAACACATGGCTACCTGGATTCAATGACTTGTATCATAATGACCGTAAGGTTCTCTTGACAGAGGAATAAAAACAATCACTGAGCACCTCTCCTCCGCCTCACATCTACGTTAGAGGGAAACAGATTCTTCAAAGAACAAGATTCCACGTAGCTTTTCAACCTGTCTCTGTAATTTCTTGGAAATAAGACTTCAGAGATGATTAGCACTAGTAACATCACTTTTTAATCCTTTACTCCATGAAATCACTTATTTAAGGGTAAGGTCCCAGGTCACATACTTCGAAGTCACCAGGTCACAATAAACAGATTCACTGGGCCCTATCCAAACCTACTGATTCAAATCTCAGGGGGAAAGCAGTGAAAGCCTACATTTTAAAAAACAAGCTTTCCAGGCAAAGGTCAT